TTGGGTTCATGTCGGGCGAACGTGGTGGCCACACCATTCGTCGGAACTCTCCAGAATGCTCCTCGAACAAATTCTGGACAACTCCGGCCCGATGACACGGTGCATTGTCCTGCTGGAATATCCCATCGTTGTGGGGGTACATGAAGTCCATGAAGGGCTGCAAATTGTCACCAAGCAGTGTAATGTAGCGGTCAAGGGGCAATGACGTGTTTAGGTGGACGAGCGGACCCAACTCATGCCACGTGAACACACCACACACCAGTATGGAACCAGCACCAGCCTGCACGGTGCCTTGTTGACAACTCGGGTCCATGGCCTCATGGGGTCTGCGCCAAACCCGAACCCTACCATCCGCCCAAAACAACTGGTACCTTGACTCATCGGACCACGCCACATGTTGCGAATCCTCCAGGGTCCAATTAGCGACGTCACAAGCCCAGGTGAGGCGCTATGTCCGGTGTCGTGGTGTTAACAGAGGCACTCTGGTCGGTCGTCTGCTCCCACATCCCATGGAAGCTAAAGAACGCTGACAACCTTACCGTCATCTGTGAGTCGATTGTCTAGATAATGTGGGACCCTCAACGTCTCAAAACACTATGGGCCTTCACGGCCTGGTACAGGGATAGCTTTACTTTTCTTGCCCTGAGCGAACCTGCCCTATAGAATCTTCGAGGATTCCAAGTGCGAAATGTCATACCCATTTTCTTTAGCTTAGGTCGTTTATCCAAGGAATCCATCCAGGTCCGAGGCCTTGTGTTCATTTTCGAGCTGCTGACATATCATTAAATAAAGCATAAATGAATACATATACGATGTACACCGAATATTTCCTCCTCAATACCTTATCATATCGATTTAGCGGTATCGACTGTCATTTCTACTTTACATCATTATGTTACTAACGAGTTTTGACAGCAGAAGCTGCAGTGTTGAAGTGCTTTTAACATAATACCTTCTGTAAACTATGTTATTTATATACACTCCTTCACGGTCTTCAAAGTGAGCCTACCCAAATTCGAGGAAAAGCACTTCATCTACGGTAGTGCAGGATCTGAAAGCAATATGCCTATAGCTGAGTACATCTAGTCAGGAACATCTAAATTTACTGCTGTTTATCCATTATTAAGGTAAGTGCTAAGTAAAGGCAAAGTTGTACCTTTGCTTAACTAGTTAAGCACTACACCGTGAAGGCTCATGTGGAGTGGATGTATAGATCCATATTTTCTTGACTTCGGCGCTAGCTGGATGTGAGTGGTCAGCTTGACGCCCTGGCTGCCTTACCCCTGGGGAAAGAGCCTGCGGTACCCATTGGATAGGAAGTTGGGTGAACCCCAGTGCTGGTCTGGACGACATGTTAAAGAGAAAATTCTTGACTCTGCCGGGATTTGATCTCTGCCCTCTCGGTGGTAAGTGCGAGACGAATTGGAAACCGTTTACATTTTGTTGAGATTTATTTTACGACGCAGTCAGTGTAAAGAGTATAGCCTATAGTATCGAAAGGTAGGATGATTGGTGAATAATGAATTTAGAAGAATGCGCAGTGCCCTAATCTAGCCACTCTTCTGGCATTTACCCGGATGGAACGAGACGAACATATTATAAACCTTATTCAGGAAAGCCTCTACCAGCCGCTACACGAACCTGCTAGAAGGAAACTGTTTTCGTTGCGGAGTTAATGATAAGGTGTCCGTGCATATCGAAGAGGTTCTTGGAAGAAAAAGTTGCTGACCCTTACACTTGACCAATTATAATTTTAAGTAAAGTGTGCACATTGCCCGCACTACTAAAATGTCTCTCTTCTCTGTCAATCTGAGTAGTGTGCAAATATAGTCATATTAACCTTGATCTTGGCAGATGTAAGAATCTTCCCGAGGCGGTCACGGTAGCCGAGCGGTCTAAGGCATGCACTATCTTCTGGAGATCATATTCTGGATCAGTCTGTTGCATCGGTTGTGGGCACATCTCCGAGTCACTACGGGCTCCCTCCTTTCTCCACCCAAACAGTGAACTGAGTGTAGAGCTACGGAATAGGAATTCCATACTACATTGAAGAGCCTCAATTTCCAGCAAGTCAGTCGTGCAATTCTATCATGTGGTTGTACGATGCGAATTTTCAGGGATACAGCGATTGTCTCCTGCCAGGGCTCTGCTGGTTTTCTAGGTCTTCAGAAGGCATTATACCCAGTTCGTAGCGGACCACACTTGATTTTCATGTTACCACAGATACGTTAGGTCAGACGACCCTTTAACGATTATGACTGTAATTAATTGGTTATAGTAATGCGACGACTATTCGGAAGGTAACCTACGTTTATTTTAGACCACTAATGTTGTCAATGTAGGAGTGCGGGAGAGCTTGCGCATGCGAAATAGCGTCACATGGCTCACGGCCTTGGAAACAATCAGATAACTGGTCACCTAGTGTTTGTTCTTGTCTCTACAGGGTGAGTTATTATGTGTCCTGTGATTGATAGTTACGTCAGCTGCGAAATTCGTCTGTTATCCACTTTCTTCTCGCTATCAATATGAATGCTGCGGAAATCCCTTGTGAATTATGCACGGTTACGGCACATACAGCACATTCACAAAACAAACCGAAAAAGTTTAAATGAGCTCCTACCCGTAAGAAAGCTAATGGAGGCTATTTTCTGGGACAGGAAAGGTGTGCCAGTGGTGGAATTTATGCAACAAGGGACCACAATAACGCCAGAAGTGTATTGCGAAACACTAAAGAAAACTGTATAGGACCGGCCATTCAGAACAAAAGGCGTGGATTGATGACATCATGTGTAGTGCTCCTCCATGACAGTGCGCGTCCGCGTACGAGTACATCTGCACGGCCTCCCGCGCTGCTGGAGCATTTCAACTGGGAGTTGTTTGACCACCCTCCTTATAGCCCTGATCTCGCTCCGAGCACTACCATCTGTTTACCTATCTGAAGAATTGGCTGCGTTAAGTGCTCTTCAACACTAACGAGGAGTTGTTGGAAGGTGTCGAAACGTGGCTGAGCTCACAGGCGGTAAACTTCTTTGATACAAGCACACAAAAACCTATTCCTCGATGCGACAAGCGCCTCAATACAGCGGCGACTATGTTGTGAAGTAGCTGATGTATGTACGTATGTTTTTGTAACAGCTCACCTGAAGTTATTTTCAAAATAGCCCTCATATTAGGCCTGTGAGGGCACTTCCATTGTCTGGGGTATATTTGATATACGTAACCAAAGGTCTCGGTCAAGTAATTAGGACTTTTGGTTCATGGTGGGAAGACCCGCGGTTGAATTCTCGGTCAGGATACCTACTATCTTGATTGGTTTTTTCTGGAATTTCCCTAGCCCCTCCATGAAAGTTTCAGGATAGTACCAAAATTATGCCACGATAGTTTCATCCAGTTCCTTTCCGATGCATATTCATTAATCATCATGTCATTGGACGCTGTATAATCTGTGTCATTGTATGTCACAAAGTAAACATCAAAGTTTACAAGCCCGTCACTTAAAGTTCTGGTTTTACTCTACCCTCATCATCTTCATTACCCGTATGGAGTGTGATTTCATTATCTCCTCTGGATTAAAATGCAGAAAATATTGTTTAATTCAAGCTTTCTTTAAAGCCCGGTGTGTGGTCATAGAAATATTTTAAACTACTGATTATATTGGTAACGTTTTTTCATCTCTTCTATTGTCTTCCTGGATGCCTTTTTGTTCTGTTGGATTATATTTGAAAGGAATTGGGGATGCGGCGGTCTTCCATTTCTTTTGTATGCATAGGGTACTGAATAAGCTCAGTTACTAAACCGCAGCCAGGTCTGTTTCTCTCTCTAACGGCCAACCGTTGATCTGCTTTTAGTGAGCGAAATCTACCTGGGGACTGAGGTTGTCAGTTTTTCCAAATTATGCCGCCGCTAACATCGATTAGTAAGGACTCGCGTTCCGATGTGAACATTCAGATTTTCACAACTAGTAAAAGTTTAGATTGAGATAGTCTGGATTATGACCATGTTGTGTGGTAGGTGGTTCCTGGCGTTTCGGAGGAACCTTCTTCCAACTTCAAGGTAGACGAAGAGGCAGTAGTTCGTACTCTTGGGACGTTCTTAACTACGATGTAGTTACCAGAGTAGCGGTGCCATAACCCGAGAGACTATAACCCGAATTGTATGCTATTTTCGTTCTTTAAGCTTACCTGTTAGTGATATGGGTCTAATCCCCACATCAGGGTTCGTACATTTCAGACTTCTTGTATTAGACAATGAATTTTTTTAATAATAATCCATCCATTATTTCTACACCAGAGGATCACATGCTTCAATAGCCCTGAGCGAAACGTGGATGAAATTCCATTCCATTTTCAACAGAAGCAAAGTAAAGAATAATATTACCACGTGTAGGGTTGTGTCTGTAGATGGGGTTTGGATTGGTGAATGGATTTATTGACCACTTATACACACGACTCGCAAAATAGAAATAATTACAGCGCCACCGCCAAACTCCACAATTCACTAATCGCCACAGTACCCGCTAAGCCTTTTCCAGCCTGCTGTGTCTTCAGCCGTTCTCTAGCAGCGGCCTCTAACAATGGAGATTATTCAGCTTCACGTGCTCAGGTCCTTTCTTCACAGCCCCCCGTGCAGAACTCAATTCATTGCTCCAACTGCCCTGGTTATATCCTCTCGGTACGGACCACATAGAAAACACCGTTCTTCTGTTGTTACGTGTCTTTTGGCGCAGGGACGTGTTTACCGAGCTGTTGCCAAGAGACTGCCACAGAAAACACCGTTCATCTATTATTGCTTGCTTGTATGTTGAAGGCGTTACCTAAAAACCGCTGCTGTTTATTAGGTCGCTGCTAAGCAGCGAACTTATATGAACTTCTTTGTTTTCATTCCATATTTAATATAATATCAGTTTTATCTACGAGATTAAAATCCTTATTTTTTAATTACTTTTTATTATAATATTTCAATGGCGTCTATTGGATTTTGTTTGTATTTGTTTCTTGCAGCCACTACATGCGGCAGATATTGGAAGCTCTTCGTTACTGTCATGAAAATGACATAATTCATCGAGATATCAAACCGCATTGTGTTCTTCTGGCGACGAAGGAGAACTCGGCGCCTGTCAAAATCGGGGGTTTCGGAGTCGCCATCCAACTGCAGGAGGGGCAGATGATAAATGGAGGTGAGTGTCTTGCGCTTGGCGGCCAGTTTTTCGTTAACAGAAATCCATAATTCAGTTACATGACACGACGGCCTAGCTCTGATGGTAGCAAAACCGTATGCGTCACGTGAATTCCGATTGCTGAACTATGCATGCAGAATTTGAATCCCTACTAGTCCAGCTTTCTGTGTTTCCGTCATTATTCTTTGTTAATACGTCGCAATTACCGCAAGCTTCGGAAAACTGCGGCCACTACATGATACTGCAGAAGGAAGGCATGATATTGTTGCTCATGAAGCAACGGAATTATTTCAATAACCGATAGCTCATGGCATATAGTACAGCGGGAACTTTTCTCAGGCAACAAAATAAATTATTAAACAGAACTCTAGTATTCATCAGTTAAGAATTGGTTCGTTCTACCTTAGATAATAAAGTACAGCCAGAACAAAACGTGTTTAATTATATTCTTATTTTAAATTATTCTTTTCATTTTCGATCATATTAGTTCTGAATTTCATTTATAATTTTTACGCGTATAATACATGCTGATATAGCTTTTGGAGACCTCCTCTGTGGACTAGTGGCCAAAGTTCTTGGCTACAGATCCAGTGGTTCGGGTTCGATTCCCAACGCTACCAGATTTTCTGAGAAGGAGTGGGTCTGGAACGGGGTCCAATCAGCCTCGTGAGGATAATTGAGGAGCTGTTTCAAGGAAATAGCGGCTCCGGTCTAGAAAACCGAAATTAACGGCCTTGGGGATTCGTTGCGCTGACCACGGGACACACCCTCTGTCCTCTAAAGTTGGCACTAACTTCGCCGAAAACGGCAATCGCTAGGTCGGTATAGTTCGATTGCGGACTCAAACCACTGAGTTTTTTGATATAGCTTTTGACGGTCTGTAATTAACAGTGGGTGAAAACTAAAAAGTGAAGTATGAAGAATTCATGACGTTTTGTATGACAATATACTCCAGCTGCGTACATATTCTCGATTGAGGCCAGATGGTAGTGTTAATTACTGAAGTCTTTATATTTCTGCTGACATACATAAGCAATAGACGGAAAGTACTGTACGCACGTATCCGCATGAAAATTGGGCTTATAACTTGGTGCCTTTGAAATTAAATGTTTTTCACATGTACAAAATATGAAGGGCCCGCAGAAGCTGTTTTTCGTTGGACCCCCTATGGGCCGTCCTAGCCGGTTCCATTCAAACTCCTTTCCGTGTAGCACCGGGTGTTCTCGTGAGTAGGATTCCTGGAAATGGTCATCAGTTCTGTTGGTCGCCTGACAAGCCTCTCCTGAGTATTTCTTACCACTTTTCACCACAAAACAAAATATTAAAATGTGGAGCCGCATGCAGGAGGTGCATAGACCAGTTTCCGGAACTGCTATAAATAATTCGTGCGCAGAACAACGATCCAAGGCCGTGCGCGGTTGTGTCGACTGGAAAATGCTTACCGTACCTGACGCCCCATAAAATTGCCTACCACAATTTTTTACCCACTTTTCTTTCAGTGTTGTAATACCAATTAATAAACAGAACCCAACGGAAATGACGCTACTTGGAGAATTATAAACTAATTTGTATGTACGAGAAATATTTTAACATGTCTCAACCGTCTGAAACCAAGCAGTGAGAGATGCTCTCATGGGTAGCAGGTAACACTATAAGCATTAAACTTGTTCTCTTATCCTTCCCAAGCATTGGAAGAATTGAGTACTAAAGGTTTCTGACGTAGATGGAGACATCATGTTCATGTAATGTGGAATTAAAATTCATTGGTGTTAGACGAAACGAGAAATAATGAACTGACTGCCATGTTTGTGATGGAGATTTAACCCCGTGGAACACAAAATCAGAGTAAGAGTCATGTTGCGACTGACATCCAACAGACTGAGCAAGAGTCAACATTCTCAGGATCATGCGAAACACGCAACACCCACTGTTGGCAGCATGCAGCGGCTTTGAATGTTAAAGCAGGAGCTACATACACGAGTCTTACTTACATACTTTAAATGTAGGAGGGTACGCAGTAGCGTAGTTGGTTGAGGCACTATGCTACAAGCTGGAAAGTCGCGGGTTCGAGTCCCGATTAGGTGGATTTCTTTCAAATTACCTAATTCTTCCAGCCGCACTATGACCCTGGGGTCGACACAGGCTCTAACAGAATGAGAACCAGGAAACTTCCTGGCTGAATAGGAGGCCGACGCATAAGGCTGACCATACCGCCATCTGTTAGCCGATTGTTTAGAGAAAATGTGAGAGCGTCAACATCTCACAACCCTTCGGGCCTTCACGGCTTGTTACAGGGATTGTTTTATCTTTTTTACCTTAAATATAGGCATCGTCGATGGATAATACGAAATAGACAAGTTGTTTGGCCTTTGCAGAATAAATTCAGGGAATATTTACTGTTGTTGAGTTCAGAATGTTTGTCTCCCACCTGCTATCTGAAAACGTAAATGTAGACATGTACAAAACTGTAATTTGCCTACAGTGCCCTGTTGGCGCTAAACTTTATATTCCTTACTAAGGGTGGAAATAGTTTTAGGGTGTTTGAGATCAGGTGCTGAGCAGAATGTTTGGATCGGAGGTGGATAAAATAATAAGTGGTTACATAAAATTGCATAATGAGGAGCCTCACAACTTTTACTCTTCGCCAGTTATTGAAATGATAGTCAAGGAAGTTGACGCATGGGAGAGAAGTTCACACGGGGTTTTGGCAGGGAAACCTCAAGGAAAAGGACTAGTAGAATGACCTAGACGTACTCGGGATGATAATGTTAGAAGTGATATTAAAGAAAATGGATTTCTGGTGTGGACTGGATTCATCTGGCTCAGGATAGAGGCCAGTTTCGGGTAGTTTTATGAATACGGTAGCAAACCTTCGGATTCCATAATATGCTGGGAGTTTCTTGAGTAGCTGATCAATTGTTGGCGTCTCAAGGAGGACTCGGGTTCTCCATGGAGTTAGTTTAGCATTACCGCCTTAACAAACTTGCAAAGGGGACGAAGTAGCTGGGGACGAGTGCTGCATGGGGACTCCGCCCTTCGATCGAACTTCCGAACTGCGATGCTTATACGCGGGAAGAAGGTTGATGTTGGCAATTTTGTTAGTTTCACACCGTGGTCTGTATATCAACTGTGGGCCGTCGCAGCCTTCTCATATGTCCTCTGTGGACGGCGAAGAGGAAGTATGTTATTTTAGTATTCTCCAAAACATATTTAAATTTAAATAATCTTATTAATGCTAGTTTTAAATAATAAAGACTATTTTTGACAGAAAAATATATAAGCTACAATAGAACGAGTTCTTAGAGAGTATGCATACGTTTTGCTCTTTGAGTAGCCAAATTCAAATTGATAAAGACATTTCGAAAAACGTGTCAGCACGTCGCAGCCAGAACGTACCGAATAAGAACATGAAATCTGTGAGCGTCAGTGCTGGCCCAGTGAAGTAGCGCAGACCTCCCCCCACCCGTATTCTAGTTAGTCGACTTTGCGATAAAAGAGGCCCGTCAGACAGTATTAGTCAAAGGTATGCTCCAGTATAAGTGGGACGCTAGCTTAAGGTTCCTATCGATATCGGCGATGCGTATATTGATATCAAACAAAAACGAACTCCGTCATTTTAGTCCGTAAACGAACTATACCGACCGAACGACCTCCGCTTGTCGGCAAAGTTAATGCCAAATTTAGCGGATAGAGGATGTCGCGTGGTCAGCGCAACGAATCCCCACGGCCGTTAGTTTCAGTTTTCTGAGACCTGTTGTATCGATATCGGTGGTATGTACGAGTATATCGATACCGAGGTATTTTATCGGTTTCAGTTTTTTAAAGTGCTGAAGTACCTCAATTTTAAGCATTGTTATTTTCTTTATTTACATTAAACGTAGTGGTCATTAATATCATACATTTTTCTCTTCATAATAACCAGCTCGCTTCAGTGCCTTGGAGTAAGTGAGAGTATTTGTATACCACCAGGTAATTTCCCTATACATCTGTACGGGGAATTCATTTCCGATATCCATCACCGATATAAACATGTAGATTTTTCAATATTAATTCATATCCCTGCCAATAGTACAGGTGGCTGGTCATATTCTACACCTGTTATGTTTTTTTTATTGCTAGTGGGGTGGGACTAAGTCCCTTGCACTGCGGCCACTTCTGGCCTATTGTACCAGCCCCAGATGATAGGTGAGGGTGATTGTGGAGCAATTGGTTGAATGAAGATTGACAGGGGAAACCGAAGTACTCGGAGAAAACCCTCCCCGGCGTCACTTTGTCCACCACAAATCCCACTTTACCAGGGATCGAACCCGGGCCGCCGCGGTGGGATGCCAGCGACTAACCGCTTGAGCCATAGCGCGGCCTCACCTCTTATGTTACTGGAAAAAAGAAATGGGGCTTAAGATTAAAGTCTGGTTTGAAAACACTGAGGTTGTTAGCACCGACATATGACTTGCTTGTATTCGGTAATTATTATGCGGTTACCAGGTTCATGTATAGAATTTACACGCTAATTTTCGTTGAAAGTTACTCATTGGTAATCTGCCGGTAGTTTCAATAGCGTCAAAATTTAGATTTAGACGCCACTGTAAATAATTGTATATATTAATGAAATTGCTTGGCAGTTGGGCCTACTGCCGCTAGCAATTCGCCCATTGTAATTGATGTTCACATTAAAATGAATTGATAGTGAAAGTTCCAATTTGAAATGTCGCCACATTTTTTACTGAATTGAATGGGGCGGTGTGAGGGCAAACATATGACAGAGGTTTATAAGCGTTTTGTGTGCTCGTTTTTTTAAAGAACGTTTAATTATCCGAGTTTATAGCCAATACAGTAATTTTAGCGCAACTCTTGACATTGTAAAACTCCTAAAGCTCAACTGTGTAGATTACTGTTTTGAAAGGTCGCATTTCTAATGCAAGACATTCGGCGCAGACCTTATATTTTACTGGACTCCAGGGGGCACGCGGTAGCATAGTTGGTTGAGGCACTGTGCTGAA